TTTAATCTTTATTTCATTAATTTAGTGACACAATCTCATCTTATTTTATTTTGGATTAATTTTACGATGTAGAAATGAAAGTAGACGTGTTCAAGCGTTTGATTTTTTACCGATCGACAGTTCAACAGTCAGTCTCTCACTGTAAACACAAGCTGCCGTCTTTCATCGTGTGCTGTGTGAAACAACAAGATGAAGGAAACTTCCTCTGTTGCGTCTCGAGTGGTGAAACTGTGGCGTTGTTGGTTTTCAGCAGCTTCCACTCTAAAGCTCAAATGTTGCACAACTAAATCTTCCTCAATCAGAACTCGGAGCAGATTAAAATGAGAAGTCAGGTGGTAGATATGGATGTTTCTTAACTCGAGATAGGAAACCATAACGGAATTATTCATTCATTTCATTACACAACACCACATTTAACACAGCAACAAAGTAACTAATGACAAATAATGCAATTCTTATTTCCCTTTTAAAGAGTGTGAGGCCACAAAAACACACTCAGGCTTTCTAACCAGTTAATATTTCTAACATGATCATGTCTGAATTATAAACACGATCTGTGCTGAGAGAGTCCACAAAGATATTTTCTTTTATTTGGAGGCCAATCTTTAGTTTTGTAAATGCTTTCAGTAGTTCGGCCACAATGATCAACGAGCTGCGTTATGAAAGTCAGACTGGAGCTTCCTGCAGCTCCTCTGGTCTCTGTGTTTGGTTCTGTGGTCGACAGTGAGAGGTGACTACGGCTCAGCGTTCAACGCCATCGTCTCAGACAGCCTCACCACCAAACTGGAACGCCTTTAGACCCCCCAGCTCCTGGATCAGACACTTCCTCACCAACTGGCCTCAATCTGTCCAACCATCTTTTTCCCCCGGAGGTCATCGTCAGATCCTCCTGTCTCAGGTAAACCAGGGCCATCACAGCTGAACCCTCAAACCCCGCCCACCAACTGTTTGACACCTCCAGACTCACTAACAGCTCCTTCCCCCCACACCCCATCCTGCCCACCCACCTCACCAATCTGAGCCATGGTCACAGGACACTCTCCCAGACTCTATACTCAGCCCTGTCTTTGCACTGCTCTCAAACACGTGTGTCTCCATTGGCTGCCTTTCTCTTATTTATGTCTATATTCCTCTAGACTGTAAACATCTCCTCTGTTTGCTGTTTATTCCTTTTTTCTTCTTCTTTTTCTCTAAAGATGGCGCATAAAAGCAGGACTGAGTCCTCTGTGTAGAGCGACAGTAACTGTGTGTTTGTAAGCATTTAAACAATGCAGAGAGTAAAATGAACAGCAACAGTATTTTGTCTAAGTCCATCATTGTAGAAATGATGGCGCACAGCGTGACGTCAAAAAAGGCGCACACCTTTGACGCTGCGTTTTCTCCGTTTTCCTCGTCCACACGTAAACGCAAAAACTGCGTTTTTAAAAATCTCCGTTTTCATTGGCCCAAAAAAGCTGTTTACACGTGGACGAAAGGTGCAAACGCGTAGAAAAATCTGCATTTTCAAAAATACCCGCGTACGTGTGGACGTAGCCTCTGTGCTAACTCTGTGGAAACGGCTGAAAACGATGGTGTGGACGCAGAGCGTTTTCAGACTAAAACGACGTTTTCAAATTTATCCGGGCTCGTGTGGACGTAGCCTTAGCATGTCTCTCACACTTACTGTTGACAGATGGTATCTCAGAAAGTTGGAGGGAAGCATCCACACACAAAGGAGTGGGCGGGGAGTCTTTTGTCTCTTTTTCCACTGTAGATAGCAAGGGAGACGGGGAAAGACCCCCGATTCCTGCTGTCTTTACTATTTAGATATTTATTTTTTACTCTTGCACACTCAGCCACATATGGTTTCATTGTACATGTACAATGACAATAAAGACCTATTCTATTCTATTCTATTCTATTTCTCCTGTGTGAGCTGGACACAGGTGTAGCCGACTGTAGTTTCCTGTTGGTCGTGTTGTTCTTGAACGCTGCTGTAGACGTTATCAGGAAGCTGAAACCACAGACAGACGTGAAAACAGTGAAGAGGACAGAAACACAGGAAGACGGCTGTTAGTTTGCTCCGTAAAGGAATCACTGATCTCTTCTTCTTTCTCCCATTAGACGTCATCTCACCCCACTTAGCCTACTGCATCGTCTGCTTATTATTCTTAACAAGTCATCACATTATAAATATATCTTAATCCATCCCATTATCCTCAATAAAAGGGGTAAAGTGTGTTAAACA